CCTGGAAACCATCATTCTCAGCAAACTGACACAAGAACAGAAAATCAAACACCGCATGTTCTCACTCATAGGTGGGTGTTGAACAATGAGACCACATGGATACAGGGAGGGGAGCATCACACACTAGGGTCTGTTTGGGGGAAATAGGGGAGGGACAGTGGGGGGTGGGGAGTTGGGGAGAGATAGCAAGGGGAGAAATGGCAGATATAAGTGATGGGGAAGAAGGCAGCAAAGCACACTGCCATGTGTGTACCTATGCAACAATCTTGCATGTTCTTCACATGTACCTCAAAACATAAAATGCAATAAAAAAACATGCATATACCTTGTGTAGTATAGATAAGTTTAGGTAAGTTGTGATGTATTTATACAACGGAATATTATAGAGCAATAAGTATGAATTACAATTCATACAACATGAATGACTCACAAACATAATGTTAGGTGAAAAAGCCAAAATCAAAAATTTGTTCAAAAACAGACAAAATTGTGGTGTTAGTAGTCAGGGTGGTATTACTCTTGGGGAGCTTACTGGATGGAGACATGTGGGGCTTTTGGAGGCTTATAACAATTTTTTTTAATCTCTGTGTTAGGTGGGATTATATTGAGAAAATTCATCCAGCTATGAACCTAAGAATTATGTACTGTTCTGAATGTATGCTATACTTCAATATACATTGTTATGTAAATAATAATAGTGTACTTACATGTAGTCACACATGGAGAATGCACATAACTTTTGTTTTGGCAGTTTTACCCTAGGCATATAACATATTTACACACACTCTTGCATATGTGGGGGTTAAAAATAGCACGAAGGTATTCATTGCTGTGTTTGCAAGAACAAAAGTTCTTACAAAACTTAATTACTCATAAGTAGGGAACTAGTCAAATAATTGACATAGCCATATAGTGAATTAGTAGCAGCTCTTATAAGGAGTAAGGCAGTTCTATATGAAGTAATTTAGTAAAGTCTTTAAGGTATAGTAAATCAAAAGACCAAAGTGCATGAACAGTACATGTAGTATGCTACTATTTGTGTATGGGTGTGTTTTTCCTCAAAAGGCATATATTTGCAAGCATGTATATATAGAATATATTTGGAAAGACAAGAATATATCATAATACTGGCTGTGTCTGAGGAGTGAAACTGAGTGGCCACAGGCACAATTGGGTGATATTTTCTATACTAATTTGTAACTTAAATTTTTTTTATTTTTAATTGTGATAAAATGCATATACCAAAACTTACTACCTTAAACATTTTTAAGGGTACAATTCAGTAGTGTTAAGTATATTCATATTGTACAACCAGTCTCCATAACTTTTTCATAGCCATTAAACAAGTACTTAATACTTCCCCCTACCCTCAGCAGTCACCATTCTACTTTCTGAGTCTATCAATTGGACTACTCTAGACAGCTCATGCAAGTGGAATCATATAGTATTTGTCTTTCTGTAACTGGTTTGTTTCACTTAACACAATGTTCTCAAGGTCCATACTATTTTGTGACTTTTGAATTCTGTACATTGTTCATTTATTACCCATTTTCAAAAAAGCATTAAAGTAAAAACACATGACATTATTCAGAGCTGGTTAATTACATGGTAAAAAGTTGATGGCTGGCATGTCTTTTTCATTTCAACCAATATTAAATGCCAGTTTGGGCGGCAAAATAATTTTATGCCAAAGAGCCATTTGAAGCTGGGTTTATGACGTGTTTCTCCTTTTGTCATCTATGGGTACCCCCAAAATACAGGCTCAAGTCCCCAGCCTCTTGATTCTGCTCAAAAGTTTCACCGTTTGGCTTACTGTGTGACTTTGGCCTGCTCTTCCAAATCTACCTCTTTTCCCCAGGAACAAGCTGCTTCTATGCCAGGGACATGGGTTCCTCCTTGCAGATTTTCTTCACATCCCTGACCTGGACAAAAGGGGAGTTTTCATTCCGCTAGCTTTTTAGTGCTCCTTTGAGATCATTATTCTGGAGACGTCTGCAATAATATTGTTTCTCATGGATTGAAATTCATTGTTTCCAACAAGTTGAAATGACTCTGAAGTTTATGGGAAGACTGGGTATCATTAACTGGCACAGAGGGAGACAGGCTGTAGGTGGAAGATATGTGACTTGCTTTTGAAAATAGTGGTGTGAGATTCTGGCCTGCAAAAACAGCTGGAGTTATGAGCTAGAAGTGGGGACTGAAAAAATAGGGGTGTGTGTGTGTGTGTGTGTGTGTGTGCACACACATGTGTGTATTGGAAATACAGAAAAATAAGATAATGTTACCCATAAAACAGATCATCATTCTTAACACTTTAAATGAATTAACTTCTGTTCTTTCCTCTGGCTGTATGTGTATAAAAGTATTTCTATAGCCAGCGTGGTGGCTCATGCCTGCAATCTCAGCACTTCGGGAGGCTGAGGCTGGCAAATCACTTAAGGCCAGGAGTTTGAGACCACAAAAATTAGAGCTGTGCATAGTGGCACGTGCCTGTAGTCCCATCTACTCAGGAGGCTGAGGCACGAGAATTGCTTGAACCCCAGAGGCAGAAGTTGCAGTGAACAAGGATTGTGCCACTGAACTGCCTGGGTGACAAAGCAAGACTCTGCTAAAAAAAAAAAAATATATATATATATATATATATATATACACACACACACACACACACACACACACACACATTTTAAAATGTAGAAATTATATTTTCTATTCACCTTTTTTCCCCCTCTGTGAATGAAGAAGTCCAAGGCCAGTCACATAGTTACTTCTGTTAAGAGCCCCACAAGAGGTCATGAATACATTTGTGGGACTTGTTGAAATTTCACAGGGTGAAGCCCTACACAGATGGAGAAGAAAATGTGGCAAGAATAGGATTTTGGAAACTTGTCTAAACTTTCCTAAAACTTTCAGGATTCATGAATCTGAAATTATAATCAAAGAGGTAGGAGAATTAAGATTTCAGTGTCAAACTAAGAAAAGCAGAGCAAATTCCAAGAAAAAAGGAAGAAAAATATTGTTTACTGTTTTAAAGAGGTAGAGCTCAATGAAGACTAAGCCTTCAGGTACTAAATTGAGGGTGTAATGGCATGCACATGCTTGTAATCCCAGCGCTTTGGGATGCCTGGAGCCCAGGAGTTTGAGGCTGCAGTGAGTTATGGGCCACTGAACTCTAGCTTGGGTGAGAGTGGGACCTTGTCTCAAAACAGCAACAACATGACACAATATTGAGAAACTGTTACTTGAATATATAGTTGAATGTATATTCTGTTCAGCAGTGATGGAATAACAAGTAATGGATTTACTTTGCTATTTTAAGCAACTAGAAAACTGGACAATATATGAAATAGCAATTTGTAGGCACTGGGTAACAGGAAACACAAGACTGTGGCCACTGAAATGTGGGAACCAAACCTGCTGAGTTCTATGGTTGCTCCAATTTATTATCTGGAGGTAGTTTTCAGGCTACAGAGCAGGGATGGGGAACACAAATTAAAGCCTGGTGTCTCACTGAATTGAGACAACAAGATGAGGATTGACAGGGAGGGAAGATTGTCATAATTTGTGGGACAGAGTACCAGAAATGTGGGAGTTGTACACAGAGCTCCAGAGGCAGGTGCAGAAGTCTCCTGAAGTCAGGTTGAATCCTGACCTACACATGCATGAGAGGAGAGCACCTGAAGCCAGAGAAAGAACCCCACTGGAAACGAGCAGGCCAAATGATTCCTGAAACTCACACAGAGCTGGGAATAGTCTGTGTTGCCATTAGCCAGAGTATATACAAGGGCATCAAAGGGCATGGCCTTTTGTAATGAGGCTAAATTAGCCCTAAGTTAAAGGGTACTCTGGACCCAGTCTAACAATTAAAAAGCAAGTCTTGGAAGATCCAGCTGATTTAAAGAGTCTTACCTGTGTGTGAGAACGAATTCCAGCACTATTGAAACAAATACACAAAATCTAAAACAAAACTCACAATGTTAGGCATTATAAAATGACCAGGCATGCAAAAAACCAGGAGAAAAATCAACTAGATCCAGAAATGACAGAGATGATGGAATTAACAAAGACATGAAAACAGCAATTACAAATATGTTCTTGGTTCAAAAAAAGTAGAGGAAATGGTTAACACAATGGGAAGAGAACTAGAGTGTCTATTTTAAAAAGACCCAAACAGAACATCTAGAGTTGGAAATAAATTTTAAAGCACAATGAAGGCATTAACAGTAGTTGAGGCACTGCACATCAGTGAACTTCAAGACAGCATTAGAAACTGTCCAAAATGAGAAAAGAAAGAAAAATGGAAAATTTGATAGAGCATCAATGACTATAACAAGGACAATTGTTAGAGATAGAAACAGTCTGACATACATGTAATTGGAGCCCAAGAAAAGAGAGAAAGGGGAGAACAGAAAAAAGATTGTAAAAAATAATGACCAGAAAATTTCCAAATTTGATGAAAACTGTAAGCCTACATATTTAAGAATCCTAAGGAGAATAACTATAAAGATAACCACATCATCATCACATTGTTGGAAACCAATAATAAAGAGAAAATCTTGAAAGCAGGCAGAGAAAAAATACAGATCATGTACAGAGTTACAGAGATAAGAATGACAGCAGACTTCTCATCAGAAACTTAGCAAATCAAAATAGAATGGAGAGACCTCTTTAATTTTCTTTTTTTTATTCGAGACAGAGTCATTCTTGCCCAGCCTGGAGTGTAGTGGTGTGATCTCAGCTCACTGCGACATCCACCTCCTAGGTTCCAGCAATTCACCTGCCTCAGCCTCCTGAGTCAGTGAAATTACAGGTTCATGCCACCACAGCTGGCTAATATTTTTGTATTTTTAGTAGAGACAGGGTTTCACTATGTTGGCCAAGCTGGTCTCAAACTCCTGACCTCGTGATCTGCCTGCCTCGGGCTCCCAAAGTGCTGGGATTACAGGTGAGGGCCACTGCACCTGGCCTGGAGAGACATCTTTAAAGTACTTTTTTAAAAAGCCTACTGGGGTTGGGTGCAGTGGCCAACACCTGCAATCTCAGCAGTTTGGGAGGCTGAGGCAGGATTGCTTGAGTCAAGGATTTCGAGACCAGCCTGGGTGATATGGCAAAACCCCATCTCTACAACAAAAACAAAAATCAGCCAGGCATGGTGGTGGGCCTGTGGTCTCAGCTCCTTGGGAGACTGAGGTGAGAGGATTGCTTTAGCCTGGGAAGCAGAGGCTGCAGTGAGATATAATTGAGACACACTGCACTTTAGCCTGGGTGACAGAGCAAGACCATGTCTCAAAAAGAAAAAAAAAAAAAAAAAAAACAGAGGCCTACTGGAATTTGTTGCTGGTAGACCTCCACCAGAAGTGTTGAAGTTGCTCAGGCAGAAGGCAAATGACAAAGGATTGAGAAGTGCTAGAAATGGTAACTATGAGTAAAAATAAGACAATATTTTTTCCTTTTTTAATCTCTTTAAAAGATTGTTGTATTGAAGGTGATTGCTAACAGATACAGGTTTTCCCTTTTTGTGTGATGGAAATGTTCTTCAATTAGTGGTGATGGTTGCACAGCATTGTGAATTAAAGCTTTGAAAAGATAGTTGTTTAAAGCAAACATAATAATGCATTATAAGTTTTATAACATGTGGGAATAAAAGGTATGACAATAGCACAAAGAATGGAAGGGGATGGGAAGGGTACAAGAAACCTTACTAAGGCTTTATTTTATTTATTTATTTTTTTATTTATTTGGCAGAGTATTGCTTTGTTGCCCAGGCTGGAGTGTGGTGGCACAATCCCTGCTCACAGCAACCTCTGCCTCCTGGGTTCAATAATTCTGCCTCAGCCTCCCAAGTAGGTAGGACTTCAGGTATGTGCCACCACACCCAGCTAGTTTTTGTATTTTTAGTAGAGGTGAAGTTTCACCATGTTAGCCAGGCTGGTCTTGTTAGCCAGGCTGGTCTTGAACTGCTGACCTCAGGTGATCCACCTGACCTCAAGTGATCCACCTTCCTCAGCCTCCCAAAGTGCTGGGATTGCAGGCGTGAGCTACCATGCCTGGAAGAAACCTTAGTAAGGTTCTTAAGCTATACATGAAGTGAAATCATCAAATTTACATCTAGAAAATTAAAAGAATTTATGTTCCCACTTCAAATGTATGGGAGTGCCAATTTAACCATACCCTTGACCACATGTGGTATTAATTTAAAAACATTGCCAACCAGATGTTTTTAAAAACTTGATTGCCCTAGACACCTAATCCTCACCATGCTTGAAGGATACTTTATCTGTGGAATCTTTGAAATTCTATCACAATCTCTTTACCTTAAATTTGGCTAAAACATAAAATGCATACATTTTTTTTCCTTTCCTTCTCTTCCTACCCCTTTTCTTCATAAGCATAGTTTTCTTCAGTAATTTCTTTGGTTACTACTTCAGCTTCATTTGTTCTAGAATGTGAACGTTTTGAAGACACATTCCATGTCTCTCTTATTCTCTATTGTATCATGGCTGTAGTATATGGATGATTGATGCTCAATAAATTTGTCAAAAAAAATACTGTTTTCTTTCTATACACAGTATTGGTAAGGTTGATCTGCATATTTCTAACATTTTTTTCTTTCATCTTGTTAACCTATTTTGTCCCTTTGATTTGAGTTATAGGATAATTCATTTACTGATTTTTATGTTACTAATTTTTGTTTGGTTATGTTTCATCTGCTACTTATTGCTTCTATTGCTGTTTTAAATTTGACAAATCATGCCTTTCATCTCTGAAAATATTTTCATCTCTGAAATCTTTCCTCAGATTATTCTGATTTCATTTTTACAGATGGAAAATTCACTCAAATTCTTTTAAAATATTAAGCACCTTGTATTTCATTATTTTTCTTCAGCTTATACCAGAGATTGTGAGACTGTCAAGTTTTTAAATCTCATCTTCAGCTCTAGGGCATTTAAACTTTAATATTAGTGTGTTTAAAACCCCTTAGGACTGGGAAATAAAAGAAAATGGAGCACCCATTTCTTCCTTCAATCCAGCCACCTCAACACACAATTAAAACGTGGTATTGGTGCTGGACACAGTGGTTCACGCCTGTCATCCCAGCACTTTGGGAGGCTGAGACAGGTGGATCCTGTGAGCCCAGAAGTTTGAAACCAGCCTGGGCAACATGGTGAAACCCCATCTCTACAAAAAATCAGCCACACATGGTGGCTTGGGCCTGTGGCCCCAACACTTGGGAGGCTGAGGTGGGAGGATTACTTGAGCTCAGGAGGATAAGATTGCAGTGAGCTGCAATTGTACTCCAGCCTGGGTGACAGAGTAAGACCCTGTCTCAAAAAAAAAAAAAAGAAAAGAAAAGAAAAGAAAAAAAGGATCACAAAATTTTTATTAGTATAAATTTAGGTCTAAGAGTTTTATTTGCAAAGATTACTGTGTGGAAGTAATCTCAAGACATTTTTGCCTTCCTGGCCTATATTATAAGACCCCCCCAAAGGTGGAGAACTGAATCAGGAAAATAAGCAGAGCTTGAATACACACTGCCATTTTTGAGAGGACCACGAATTCAGAACTTGAAAGAATTGGAGTTATTTCTTTCCTTAATTACACTTTGGAGTTTTGCCCTCGGGACTGAGAAATGAATGTGAGTTCCTCTTCCCTAGTAGTCCAGTCTAATGCTAGACATACACAGTCAGTGCGAGAGAAATCAGTGGTGTGAAGGTAAAATGAAGAGACTCATAATTCATGGTTGATGTTTTCCACTAAGGGGCCAGCATGGGTTTTATGCAGAATGGAGGACATTTGAGATTTCATTTTGGGCTAACAGGAAACTGTAACCTGGGATGGGTAAAAAAAAAAAAAAATTATAAAGCAATGTTTACACTCAGGTTGGAAACCTTGAATTTGCACTAGTGCTAATTATGGGTTTTTTCCTAGTAGCAGTTACCCCCACCTATTCAAGTGTGGAAAAACGAAACTAGTGTATTTACTCAAAATAGGTGATTTGAAGGAAACTGGGACTGAGCAAAGTAGTGCTTTACAATCAGCCCCAGTTTTGGGGATAAGACTGCTAGAGACTCATTACTTTTCACATTATAATGTGAAATTAATCATTAAAACCTTAGGTAAAAATGGCAGTTTTTGGCCAGGTGCGGTGGCTCATTTCTGTAATCCAAGCACTTTGGGAGGCTGAGGTGGGCGGATCACTTGAGGTCAGGTCAAGACCAGTCTGGTTACCAAAACGGTGAAACCCCTTCTCTACTAAAAATACAAAAATTAGCCCAGTGTCTTGACTCATGCTTGTAATCCCAGCTACTTGGGAGGCTGAGGTGGGAGGTTCACTTGAACCCAGGAGATGGAGGTTGCAGGAAGCCAAGATCATACCACTGTAATCCAGCCTGGGAGACAGGGCAAGACTTTGTCTCAAAAAAACAAACAAACAAGCCAAACATACATAGTATGTTTCAGCTCGTTGCACTTACTTTCCTTGTCCAAGCTCAAATGGTCCCTTTTTTAGCCTGCAGTGCCACTTTTGCTTGGCTCTTGGGCCTTATAACAATCCTGTTTATGCTTAGTTTCCTTGTTGTCCGGTGTGACACAATGTTCTTGGCTTATATTGCATATTTCCCGCCCAGCCACTTTTCCAAGAAGAATGTGGATGTTTAAAACAAAAACAAAGTTTCAGTGCAGTAGCACCCCAAACCAGCTTAATCAGAATCCCTGGTGAGGATAGGGCCCAGATACAGACAGGGTTCCCCAAGTAGAGTGCAGTGGTGGGATCTCAGCTCACTGTAATCTCTGCCTCCTGGGTTCAAGTGATTCTCCTGCCTCAGGCTCCTGAGTAGGTGGGGCTACAGTTGTGAGCCACCGCTCTCAGCTAATTTCTGTATTTTTAGTAGAAACAGGGTTTTGCCATGTTGGCCAGACTGGTCTCCAACTCCTGACCTCAAGTGATCTGCACGCCTTGGCCTCCCAAAGTGCTGGAATTATAGGCATGAACCACCACACCCCGCCAGGGTACAGTATTTTTTTTATTCCATTTTACGTTTGGTACAGTATTTTTTAAAAAGCACACCCAGCCTTGGATGGAAAACTACTTGAGGAGAGTATGCTGCCTTATCTGGCTCTGTAAACACCTTATCTCTGTACAAGGCTGGGACTTTGAGAGGAGTCCTTGGCTAAAGTTCTCATTGCTACATGGCGACCTTTCTTTCTCTCCTGCTTAAAGATTATGTTTCAGAATTTTGACCCCAATGCATCTGTGTTGAAAGCCAGGGTTGGTCTGTTATCCCAGGACTCTGTGTCAGTCCCTTTCCTTGCCTGTATATTGAGTTGGGGTTCATCTTCGTACCTCAGGAAAATAAATACTTTGATAGCTTGCTTAGAGTCTCCCAGTACTTTCCCTTGCCCTTAGAATGAATACTAAAATATGTAGCATGCAGTGTGGGCTGTGCACAGCCTTCAGTGTAGACTGCTCTGGCCCCCTCTTGGTTCCTGGAGTCTGGCATGCTTCCTTCTACCACCAGGCCTTTGCACATGCTGCTGTCTTCTAGGAATGCCTTGCCTTTCTTCATTACTTAGTTCCCCTCTACTCATCTTTCAGGTGCCAGCTTGACTGTCTTCCTTGGGGGAGCTTCTCTGACATTGGTACACCAGATCAACCCCCATGTGCAGACTTTGTCTCATTGGTAATATTTATCTACCTTCAGGACACATATCAAGGCCCAGAAGTTGCAGTTTTGCATTTGTTTGTGTGATCATTTGATACATGTCTCTATGGAACCTGACTCTTTGGGGCTCACATCCTGTCTCCACCACTTTCAGCTGTGGGACCTTGAACAAATCATTTCATCTCTGGTCCCCCATTTCTTTCATCTGCAAAACAGGGATGATATAACACTTTCACCTACCTTGTGAGGTAGGGATAAAGATTAAATAGGGTAATTTGTGTAAAGCACTTAGAACAGCGCTAACTATTAATAGTAGAGAATCTTGGCAGGTATTACTGATGATTACTGCAGTGGACCACAAGCTCCATACAGGCAGGGGTCATTTCTGTTTGTTTAGATTTGTATGCAGGGTGCTTGGCACATGGATGGCGCTCAGGAAATATTTGTTGGATGAATGAATGAAGTGGAGATAAGAATATAAAATAATACAAGTATATAAGTTCTTTGTAGCATGTCTAGCTCATAGTAGGTGGTCAATAAATATTCAATGTCTGAATGAGGGAAATGGGGACAACAGTAATACCAGCATGAGGTTGTCGTGGAGATCTAAGGTAACCCTGTAGTGCTTTGTAGAGTGCCTAGCACATAGTAGGTGCTCAGAAAATATTTGTTGAATGAATGAGTGAAGTGGGAATGATGGTAACACCAGCTCCTAGGGTGGCTGTGGTGATAGAAGATAAGGCAGGTCAATAGCTTACTGTATTGTGGTTGCACCTGATAGACACTCTGTTGAGTGAAACAAGAGGAGCTGCTAGGAATTTCTTTCTCCTGGGGCTTAGGAGAGAATCCTTTTGGGGTGCAGAATGGTATGGAGCAGACACTGGTCCTCTTGAAGGAAGAATGGGCAGCTGACTACTCCTTGCCAAACTCTGGCCTGGATGAAATTTGAATCGTTCCTTTCCCTCTTCTTCCCTAACCGTTCTTTCTTTCTGCTAGAATCCTTTCCCAGAGTCCAGTGCTCCTTCCTGTCCAGGATCACCTTCTGGTGGATCACAGGGTAAGACTGGGCCCCCGAGACCTCAGGGAGGTGGTGGGGAGTGAATGAATGAATGAATTAATGAACATGCTGAGCTCTCCACTTAACTTCTCTCTCCTTTGCTCTTCTGCAGAGTTGTCTTGAATCTGCCTGTGCTGGCCATGTGATCTCAGAGACACCAACTCTGTCCCCCAAGTCCATCACCTTGAATGTGATAAACACATGAGCCATGAGCAGCTTAAATATCTGCAGAATGCTTGGCCTGGGACAGCCATACACTGGACTGCTCTTGCCGTAGTTTCAGATTTGGGTTTTTATTTATTTATTTAATTTCTTACCTAGACATCATGTTCAACCTGACAGATTTGGGTTTTTAAAATATTAGGTATAGTTATTATTGACATTGTTCCCCTCCCATCCCCAACTCCTTAGAAAAATAATACTGTCTCACCATAGGAAACATGGGTTAAAAAAAACACGTATGCAGACCAGTAGAAAGGAAACACCCAGAGGCAACCACTGTCACCATTTTAGTATGCCTCCTTCTGGTCGTCTTTCATTTCTGAGATGGAGTCTCACTCTGTCTCCCAGGCTGGAGTGCAGTGGCACAATCTCAGCTCACTACAATCTCTGCCTCCTGGGTTCAAGTGATTCTCCTGCTTCAGTCTCCCAGGTAGCTAGAATTACAGGCATAAACCATCATGCCTGGCTAATTTTTGTATTTTTAGTAGAGACAGGGTTTTGCCATGTTGGTGAGGCTGGACTTGCTCAGGTGATCCACCCACATCAGCTTCCCAAAGTGCCGGGATTACAGGTGTGAGCCACCTTGTGTTTTTTTCTGCCCATTGTCAACATCTTATTGGGGATTATTTGAAGAATCTTTCTTTCACCCTAATATGCATCATCTTTTTGGTGTTTTGGAGACAGATTTTTGCTCTGTTGCTGAGTGCAGTGGCACAGTCAGAGCTCACTGGAGTCTTGATCTACTGGATTCAGGTGATGCTCCTGCCTCAGCCACCCAAGTAGCTGGGACTATAGGCAAGCTCCACCATGCCTACCAGATTTTTGTATTTTTTGTGGAGACGGGGTTTCACCATGTTGCCCAGGCTGGTCTCCAACTCCTGAGCTCAAGTGATTCTTCCTCCTCAGCCTCCCAGCGTGCTAGGATTATAGGAATGAGCCAACACGCCTGGTCTCATTCTTCTCTTTATGAGCTTTTTACAAACATCTTTTTAAAAGATTAGATGTTGTTAATCATTTCTTCAAATTACTATTAAAGAGTGTCACTGGAACAGTTGATGTAATTTGTATATGACTGCAGGACACCAGATGCATGCTAATAACATTCATTCTTGTTTTGGAAAATTGTCCTCCAGTTACATAAGAGCATATCCTGGATTGTAAAAGGATACCCCCAGTTTTCTGGGGGTAAAGATACGTAGAGCCTACATCTTACCTTTTTTTTTTTTTTTTTCTGAGACAGAGTCTTGCTCTGTTGCCCAGGCTGGAGTGCAGTGGTGTGATCTGCAGCCTCTGCCTCCTGGGTTTAAGTGATTCTCCTGTCTCAGCCTCCTGAGTAGCTGAGATTATAGGCATGCACCACCATGACTGGCTAATTTTTGTATTTTTAGTAGAGATGGCTTTTCACCATGTTGACCAGGCTGGCCTCAAACTCCTGACCTCAGGTGATCCATCCACCTCAACCTCCCAAGATGCTGGGATTACAGGTGTGAGCCACTGTGCTAGGCCTTTAACTGTCTGAATGGTTTAGAAAAAGATGACATGTTTGCATGTGTGTGTGTGCGTGTGTGAATGGATAGAGACAGAATGTTACTGTAAACTTGGCAACATGTTAATAGTGGTGAGTTGAGTAAATTCTTAGTATGATTTGAGTAATTTTTCTATAAGTTTGAAATTATTTTAAAACAAAAAATGAAAATGTTTAACTTTTTATTATAAAAGTGTTCAGTTGGCTGAGTGTGGTGGCTCACACCTGTAATGTTAGCACTTTGGGAAGCCGAGGTGGGTGGGTTACCTGAGGTCAGAAGTTTGAGACCAGCCTGGCCCATGTGGTGAAACCCTGTCTCCACTAAAAATACAAAAATTAGCCGGGCATTGTGGTAGGTGACTGTAATCCCAGCTACTTGGGAGGTTGAGGCAGGAGAATCTCTTAAACCCAGGAGGCAGCGGTTATGGTGAGCCAAGATTGTACCACTATACTCCAGCCTGGGTAGAGTCACATAGAAAGACTAATATAATAAAACTCAATAAACTTATCACCCAGATTTCACAATTGCTATTGCTTTGTCATGTCAGCCTTTTCTTTCTTCCCCCTCAACCTGTTTTTTTTTTTTGGGGGGGTGGGGGCTGGCTCTGTTGCCCAGGCTGGAGTGCAATGACATGATCATGGCTCACTGCAGCCTCCACCTCCTGGCCTCAAGCAATCCTCCCACCTCAGCCTCCTGGGTAGCTGGGACTACAGGTGTGAGCCATTATGACTGGGTAATATTTTTTATTTTTACATTTTGTAGAGATAGTCACCCAATGTTGCCCAGGCTGGTCTTGAACTCCTGAGCTCACAAAGTCCTTCCACCTCAGCCTCCTGAAGTGCAACAGTTACAGGCATGAGCTACTGGTCCTGGTGCATATTAGCTTTTTTTAATGTAAAATTTTAAAAAGTTGGCAGGGCATCGTGGCTCACACCTATAATGTCAACACTTCATGAGGCCAAGTTGGTAGGATTGCTTGAGCCCAGGAACTCAAGATCAGCTTGGGCAACATAGGGAGACTCTATCTCTACAATAATAAAAAATAATTAGCTAGTCATAATGGCTCACCCCTGAAGTCCCAGCTACTCGGGAGGCTGAGGTGGGAGGATCACTCTAGGCCAGGAGCTGGAGGCTGCAGGGAGCTGTGATCATGCCACTGCACTCCATCCTGGGTAACACAGCAAGACCCTGTCACCAAATAAATTAATAAATATAAAGGAATGAGGCTGAGCATGGTGGCTCATACCAATAATCCCAGCATTTTGGGAGGCCGAGGGTGGCAGATTGCCTGAGCTCAGGAGTTTGAGACCAGCCTAGGCAACACGGTGAAACCCTGTCTCTACTAAAATACAAAAAATTAGCCAGGTGTGGTGGCATGTGCCTGTAGTCCCAGACTTGGGAGGCTGAGGCAGGAGAATGGCTCAAACCAGGGAGGCAGAGGTTACAGTGAGCCAAGAACACTGCACTCCAACCTCAGTGACATGGCGAGACTCCACCTCAAAAAAACAAAAAAATAAAAAATAAATGAATGAATGATGAAAAATAAAGAATGAATTTGAGCCATCTTGATATTTTCCTCCTAAATCATCTTTTTTTCCCTAAATCTTTTGTATGCACTCCCCCAAAAGAAAGCCATTTTTGCTTTATGACCCAACAGAATGAGCTGTAATAGCCTTGTAATATGTGTAAATGTCTATGTCTATCCACATTCAGACATTCCCAGCTGTGTGGCTGCCTTTGTTCACAGCGGGCAGTTGTGCTGGGGAGGGGTGCAGCATTGGCATGTGTGTGCAGTGAGTGAGCCCCGTCCTCCTCCTCCTCTTATTGACTCTCATTGCCTAACTCCCTTGTGTCTTGGCCTCAGGTTGATCATCCGGGGCTACCACCAGCCCCTGGAGAGCAGTGGCCTCTGGTCCTTAAACAAGGAGGACATGTTGGAACAAGTCATGCCTGTTTTGGTAAAGAACTGGAAGAAGAAATGCACCAAGTCCAGGTAGTAAGTGTGTTTCCTCATCCTCTGGGATGCCCTGGTTTCCTCCTTCCTGCCTCTGTGACCTGAATCCTGTCTGCGGTCCTGGCAATGCTGCCCATTACTAGCTTTGTGGTTCTCACTTCTCCTCTGGGCCTCAGTTTGTTTTTCTGCCAAATGGGGTAAAATCTCACAAGTCATTAAGACAAGTGAGTAGAAAAGAAGAGAATAGCTGGGCCTGGTGGCTCACGCCTATAATCCCAGCACTTTGGGAAGTCAAGGCAGGTGGATCACAAGGTCAGGAGTTTGAGTCCAGCCTGGCCAGCATGGTGAAACCCCATCATCTCTACTAAAAATACAAAAATTAGCTTGATGTGGTGGCGAGCGCCTATTAACCCAGCTACTTAAGAGGCTGAGACAGAAGAATGGCTTGATACCAGGAGGCAGAAGTTGCAGTGAGCCAAGATCGCACCACTGCACTTCAGCCTGGGAGATAGAGTGAGACTCCATCTCAAGAAAAGAAAAGAGAAAAAAACGCTGCCAAAGCAGGCAGTTGATGCTGTTTGCCATGGCAGGTGACTGTCCCTCCTGGAGTCAGTCTCACTTTTTCTGTCTCTTTCTGAGCATCCAGCATCCCACATGTTCCTGCTGTTTGAAGATTCTGTCCAACACACCCAACTGACCATGTATGTTTGTTTACCCAAGGAAGCCCCATTTGTGGGTGATTTTGGCTGTACTGGATTTTAGACTCTATCCCCTATGTAAAGTGTGCCCCACTGTGCCACCTCTGTCATTCTTTTGGGAATCAGGTCAGGGCCTCCACTGCATATACCTTAACTCTTTAAATCTGAGACACCATCAGTTGCATAATACATTATTATTGCGTGTAACGGTAAGGAAGAAAAGCAACTGCCAATTAAACAAGGACGTAAGACCCATCCCGAGCCCAGATGAGCTGGAACGTGAAATTGCAAGTGATGTGGGGGCAGTGGATTGTGGCCATGGGGTCAGGAGGGTGGCTATTTTTGTTTCTGTCACCTGTTCTGGGGTAAACTTACTATGGTAAGCTGTGACAGGGCCAGCCTGGTGCATTGGATTCTCCACAGACCCATTGGCCTTACAGAGAATATCCCCAGATCCAGGTTCAGTTCCTCATTCTATTCCAGGCATGTACAGGACACAGGCCTTCAGTCAGACCCAAATGGTGGGTGGAAATCTGGGACATCCATGGTGCCAGCCACTAGGACATCAGCAGAGGACCTCATGACACTCCCAAGTAGCTGCGATTACAGACATGAGCCACCACACCCGGCTAATGTTGTGTTTTTAGAAGAGATGGAGTTTCATCATGTTGGTCAGGCTCCTCTCGAACTCCCGACCTCAGGTGATCCACCCCCGCCTCTGGCTCCCAAAGTGCTGAGTATACAGGTGTGAGCCACTGTGCCCAACCTGCACTGTTATCTTTAAACTTTTCGAAGCCAGCTAGGCAGGGATAGGCCTGTCACCGTACCCCAGGACAGGCACCAGAACACTCAGTGTAGCATGGATCATGATAGTAAAAAACAGGGAACAATCTGTTTTTGTAAGGAATGGGAGAAAGGTAATTGCAGCAGGGCACATCCACATGCCAGGCTAGCATGCATCATGAACACAAATGAAGGCAGGCATGGCAGCGGTGCACCTGCAGTCCCAGCTACTTGGGAAGCTAAAGTAGGAGGACTGCTTGAGCCCAGGGACTTTAAGGCTGTAGTGAGCCATGATCACACTACTGTACTCCAGCCTGGGGGACAGAGCATGACCCCATTTCAAAACCAAATCTAAAAAAAAAAAAAAAAAAAAAAAAGGAGATCAGAACGAACTCAGATGATATACTATTAACTACACAAAGAGAACTTTATGTACAGTATAATCCAATTCAAATCCGTCAAAATATTTTTTAAAATCCTATATGGTTGTACATTTTCTTCTAAAAGCATGCACAAAACTGTCACTTTGGAGGAGAGGAACTGATGGAAGAGAAGACAATATACTTTTTGTTTTATATCTTTCTGTATGATTTGATTTTTTTCCTACAATGGATGACAAGTACTTGTTCAGCACCTGCTGTGCATTGTTTTATGTACTAAGGATACAGCAGCCCCCCTGGAGTCTTTCATGTTCTTCACATGTACCCCAAAACCTAGAATGCAATAAAATAAAATAAAATAAAAATTTTTTAAAAAGTGTACTTTAAAAAATTCTTTATTTAATTTTATTTTATTGCATTCTCATATTTGATTTTTTTTTTTTTGAGACAGGTGACTGCGCGGGGCTACAGCGGCGCCCAGGCACTAGGTGCCAGGCCCCAGTCTGCTGGCGGCCCGGCCACGCCCACGAGCCTCCACGGTGCTGATTGGCTGGCCTGGCGCCGGGGCCGATCGGAGGGGCTGCCGCTCGCGCGTCCTCCTCGTCTCGGCGGGGACGCGCCCAAGGCACGCGGCCCGGGGGGCCGGGAGTGAGCGACGGCCACGCGGACCAATGAGGTGGACGCGCGCCGCCGCCGCCCGCGCCGCCCCTGACGCGGGCCCGGGAGCCGCGCCGCTGCGGCTGCGGGCGGCGACGGCTGCACCATGGGCCGGCTGCTGCAGGCTGCCGGGCCGCTGTCGCTGCTACTGCAGCTGCCGCTACTGCTGCTGCTGGCCGGGGGTGAGTGCGTTCAGGGCCCCGGCGTGGGCGGGCGGTGGCGCGATCGCTGTGCTGGACAGCTCCCCGGTCCGCCAACAAAGGGGCCAGCGTGCGGCGCTGCCGGGAGCGCGCCTGTCCCGGCCCCGCCGCGGCACCGCCCCGACACGCGCGCACGTGGAGTGGGGACGTAGGGGCAGCGGCCGGCGCCTAGGGTGCGGGGCGACCCCCGACCGAGGCGCGGCGGTGAAGCCGGGACACAGCACGGTGTCCCCCACGCCGCGACGCGCAGGGCAGGTGCGCAGGCTGCTGCCTTGCGGTCCTGGGGGCGCGCGCCTGTGCATGTGCATGTATGTGTGTGCGAGTGTGCATTGTGTGCCTGCACACTTGGGGGAGGGGGAATGTGTGACAGCCACGCGGGGAGGAGGCCGCATTGTGAAGGTCCCACGGGCCGCGGGTGGAGTGTGAGGCGGGCACGCTGAGGCGCGGGTGGCTGTTTACCCGTGGTGTTGCCGGGAGGGAGTGTGTGTATGTCACAGTGAATGGGTATCCTCCTCTGTTCTGGGCGACTCTATTAGGAGCTGACACAAATGGGCGTACAGCCACGGAAGGCCCGTGACAGCACACGGCGGGAGGCTCCCACGCAGCTCAAACATGAGGGAGGTGTGAGACTTGGATGTGTGGTTTCCATTCAGCAGCCATGCCGGGCGGCGGGCTGGGGGTGTGGCGCAGGTGTGAAAGGGATGTGTCTGCCTGGGAGAGAAAGAGACCTCCTGATGCCTTCCAACGCAGAGGGGGATTTAAAAACGGTTGGTGTGTAGGGAGGTGGCCATGAGGGATGTGACAGCCCATGAGGCAGGCAGCCACTATGGAAATGGCCGGGAAAAGGGCTATCTGCAAAGGTGGGTCAAATAAGGTCATAGCTGAGCAGCTCCTGCACACGCTGGCACGGCAGAGGGAGAGTGTGTTACAGTGCATGTTAAGGTGTGATTGATGCTGCTGAGGTGTACCCGGATGAGCAAGAGTGTGTGTGTGTGTGTGTGTGTGTGTGTGTGTGTGCCTGTGCACGCTCATCAGCTAGCTGTAACTTCACTTCTAATGCACATGTCAGAATGCGTGTATGTGCATATAGGAGTGTGCACAGGACACTTCCCACGCAGCTGGCCCATGAAGACACAGGCACTTTGTGTGCAGCTGTGTGTGAGTGAAAGAGAAACCTAGTGAAGGGTCTCTGTGGGAGGGGAGGAACAGTCTTTGCTTGAGGTATGGCATGACCCTGGGGCTCAGAGTGGCAGAATCCCAGGGTAAATGGCTGGGAGGGGAAAGTGGTTCCTCACACACTCCTGTGCATGTCATGGGAAGGCTCAGTTCAGCGAAGGCAAATTTTCTCCACCATCAGTCTAAGGATGAAGAAAGGCCCTAGGTGGTGTGCACAGAAAAACATGTTCATCAGTGTTGGCTCAGACACTCACACCTACCCACCTGTATTCTTTCATGCCTTAAATCCTCTTTGGAAGAAGGTGACATTCAACAAATAAACATCAGTTGATTGGTCTGCTGTTTCTTTGTGTGACAGTCATAAGCCAGAACTGGCCAGCAACATCTGTGAGGACCCAGGCCCAGCTGTAACTGCCCATGTGCTTATGTGACCAGCTGTGAGGACTGTGGGCAGCCTGCTTCCCCATTCTCTCCTGTGAATGCTCTTCATGACGCACTTTTTACCCCGTGCTTGGAGGGCATGTGTGTGTGTCTAGCAGTGTGTCTCTTACACACCTTTGTGTGGAAGCCCTTCTGGGAGCTATCAGCATTGTTTCTCACGTGTTTACAGAGTGGAGGTAGCGTGGCCGAGCTCGGCAGTTGTTGTCGCTGACACTCAAGGATGAGGGGCTGTGTGACAGATGCTGCAGGGCCCCTCCCAGGTTGGTGTCTGCCAAGAGCTTAGGGAGACTGGACTTCAAAACCCCTGTTTAGGGGAGGAGTGGGGTGTAGCTGACAGTGGAAATCAGAAAGGAGGTTTGCACTTGGAGCAGATTGTAGGGACAGATTTGGAAAGGTAAGATAAAACATGAAAATCACTGCAGTCTTGTTTTTTCCACCACCCCAAATGTCAGTCTGCCTCCTTTGCCTCTTTCTGTGTTTGGGTCAGATTTTCAGTTCTTTGAGGCTGAACCCCTAATCCTTTTCATGTGCCATCTTTTTCTCTCTCGTCTGTTAGGCATGATGATGTAACAAAAAATTATAAGTGCTAGAGGGAAAAAGGAAACCAATCACACATAGAGTGTATTTCTGAAATTTTAAGTCAGGTGAGGTCTCAAAGCAGATTAATTATTAAGTGCAAAACTAATTATACACAGAATGGCTAGGTCTCAGCTACTATTTTGGTGTC